GTCCATGGGGAAGTGGAAAAGAATCTTTCCTCCGTAAGCCATGCGTGTCGTATGAGGCGACTAAAATGCCGGGAGCAATGGGCTAGTAACCCCTTCTCCTGTAGACACTTACTAAAAAAGAGAAGAAGAAAAACTTTATAAAACTGGGATGCTTAAATGTGCGTGGATGTAGTGCGGATGACAAGAAACAGATGATTGCTGATGTTATGAATGAAAAGAAGTTGGATGTCCTGGCCCTAAGCGAAACAAAGCTGAAGGGGGTAGGAGAGTTTCAGTGAGGGGAAATAAATGGGATTAAATCTGAGTATCTGAGAGAGTTAGAGCAAAGGAAGGGGTAGCAGTAATGTTAAATGATCAGTTATGGAGGAGAAAAGAGAATATGAATGTGTAAATTCAAGAATTATGTGGATTAAAGTAAAGGTTGGATGCGAGAAGTGGGTCATAATAAGCGTGTATGCACCTGGAGAAGAGAGGAATGCAGAGGAGAGAGAGAGATTTTGGGAGATGTTAAGTGAATGTATAGGAGCCTTTGAACCAAGTGAGAGAGTAATTGTGGTAGGGGACCTGAATGCTAAAGTAGGAGAAACTTTTAGAGGGGGTGTGGTAGGTAAGTTTGGGGTGCCAGGTGTAAATGAAATGGGAGCCCTTTGATTGAACTTTGCATAGAAAGGGGTTTAGTTATAGGTAATACATATTTAAGAAAAAGAGGATAAATAAGTATACAAGATATGATGTAGGGCGAAATGACAGTAGTTTTGTTGGATTATGTATTGGTAGATAAAAGACTGTTGAGTAGACTTCAGGATGTACATGTTTATAGAGGGGCCACAGATATATCAGATCACTTTCTAGTTGTAGCTACACTGAGAGTAAAAGGTAAATGGGATACAAGGAGAATAGAAGCATCAGGGAAGAGAGAGGTGAAGGTTTATAAACTAAAAGAGGAGGCAGTTAGGGTAAGATATAAACAGCTATTGGAGGATAGATGGGCTAATGAGAGCATAGGCAATGGGGTCGAAGAGGTATGGGGTAGGTTTAAAAATGTAGTGTTAGAGTTTTCAGCAGAAGTTTGTGTTTACAGGAAAGTGGGTGCGGGAGGGAAGAGGAGCGATTGGTGGAATGATGATGTAAAGAGAGTAGTAAGGGAGAAAAGTTAGCATATGAGAAAGTTTTTACAAAGTAGAAGTGATGCAAGGAGGGAAGAGTATATGGAGAAAAAGAGAGAGGTTAAGAGAGTGGCGAAGCAATGTAAAAAGAGAGCAAATGAGAGAGTGGGTGAGATGTTATCAACAAATTTTGTTGAAAATAAGAAAAAGTTTTGGAGTGAGATTAACAAGTTAAGAAAGCCTAGAGAACAAACGGATTTGTCAGTTAAAAATAGGAGAGGAGAGTTATTAAATGGAGAGTTAGAGGTTTTGGGGAAGATGGAGGGAATATTTTGAGGAATTGTTAAATGTTGATGAAGATAGGGAAGCTGTGATTTCGTGTATAGGGCAAGGAGGAATAACATCTTGTAGGAGTGAGGAAGAGCCAGTTGTGAGTGTGGGGGAAGTTCGTGAGGCAGTAGGTAAAATGAAAGGGGTAAGGCAGCCGGGATTGATGGGATAAAGATAGAAATGTTAAAAACAGGTGGGGATATAGTTTTGGAGTGGTTGGTGCAATTATTTAATAAATGTATGGAAGAGGGTAAGGTACCTAGGGATTGGCAGAGAGCATGCATAGTTCCTTTGTATAAAGGCAAAGGGGATAAAAGAGAGTGCAAAAATTATAGGGGGATAAGTCTGCTGAGTATACCTGGTTTAAAGTGTATGGTAGAGTTATTATTGAAAGAATTAAGAGTAAGACGGAGAATAGGATAGCAGATGAACAAGGAGGCTTTAGGAAAGGTAGGGGGTGTGTGGACCAGGTGTTTACAGTGAAACATATAAGTGAACAGTATTTAGATAAGGCTAAAGAGGTCTTTGTGGCATTTATGGATTTGGAAAAGGCGTATGACAGGGTGGATAGGGGGGCAATGTGGCAGATGTTGCAAGTGTATGGTGTAGGAGGTAGGTTACTGAAAGCAGTGAAGAGTTTTTACGAGGATAGTGAGGCTCAAGTTAGTTAGAGTATGTAGGAAAGAGGGAAATTATTTCCCAGTAAAAGTAGGCCTTAGACAATGATGTGTGATGTCACCGTGGTTGTTTAATATATTTTATAGATGGGGTTGTAAGAGAAGTAAATGCGAGGGTCTTGACAAGAGGCGTGGAGTTAAAAGATAAAGAATCACACACAAAGTGGGAGTTGTCACAGCTGCTCTTTGCTGATGACACTGTGCTCTTGGGAGATTCTGAAGAGAAGTTGCAGAGATTGGTGGATGAATTTGGTAGGGTGTGCAAAAGAAGAAAATTAAAGGTGAATACAGGAAAGAGTAAGGTTATGAGGATAACAAAAGATTAGGTGATGAAAGATTGAATATCAGATTGGAGGGAGAGAGTATGGAGGAGGTGAAGGTATTCAGATATTTGGGAGTGGACGTGTCAGCGGATGGGTCTATGAAAGATGAGGTGAATCATAGAATTGATGAGGGAAAAAGAGTGAGTGGTGCACTTAGGAGTCTGTGGAGACAAAGAACTTTGTCCTTGGAGGCAAAGAGGGGAATGTATGAGAGTATAGTTTTACCAACGCTCTTATATGGGTGTGAAGCATGGTGATGAATGTTGCAGCGAGGAGAAGGCTGGAGGCAGTGGAGATGTCATGTCTGAGGGCAATGTGTGGTGTGAATATAATGCAGAGAATTCGTAGTTTGGAAGTTAGGAGGAGGTGCGGGATTACCAAACTGTTGTCCAGAGGGCTGAGGAAGGGTTGTTGAGGTGGTTCGGACATGTAGAGAGAATGGAGCGAAACAGAATGACTTCAAGAGTGTATCAGTCTGTAGTGGAAGGAAGGCGGGGTAGGGGTCGGCCTAGGAAAGGTTGGAGAGAGGGGGTAAAGGAGGTTTTGTGTGCGAGGGGCTTGGACTTCCAGCAGGTATGCATGAGCGTGTTTGATAGGAGTGAATGGAGACAAATGGTTTTTAATACTTGACGTGCTGTTGGAGTGTGAGCAAAGTAACATTTATGAAGGGGTTCAGGGAAACCGGCAGGCCGGACTTGAGTCCTGGAGATGGGAAGTACAGTGCCTGCACTCTGAAGGAGGGGTGTTAATGTTGCAGTTTAAAAAACTGTAGTGTAAAGCACCCTTCTGGCAAGACAGTGATGGAGTGAATGATGGTGAAAGTTTTTCTTTTTCAGGCCACCCTGCCTTGGTGGGAATCGGCCAGTGTGATAATAAATAATAAAAAAAATAAAAAAAATTTTATTTCAAAACCCGTAACCAAGAAATTGGGGTGGTTTTTTTGGGGGGGCTGGATTAATGGCATTTCAATTAATTTCAATGAGGAAAATTTATTTGATATACGAGCAAATTGAGTTACAAGCTCAGTCACGGAACGAATTAAACTCGTAAGTCAAGGTACCACTGTACTCTGAAACCTGTCATACTGGCAACCAACACTACCTACCTGACCCATAGTCAGGTCATCCCAATTTAGCCTACCCAGGCAATTTCTCAGTCCCATGCAGTTGGCCAAGCGAAAGTTTGGGACAAAGACTTGATTGCAGTTCTCTGGGTAATTCCATGATATGTTGAAACTAAGTGATTTATGATTGCTTTCCCCAAGCTCATCATTAACATGCTCGCACACAAAACCTCCTTTACCCCCTCCCTCCAACCTTTCCTAGGCCAACCCCTATCCACCAGGAGGCCTGGTCACAGACCGGGCCGCGGGGGCGTTGACCCCCGGAAGTCTCTCCAGGTAAACTCCAGGTACCCCGCCTTCCCTCCACTACAGATTTATACACTCTCAAAGTCATTCTATTTTGTTTCATCCTTTCTACATGTCCAAACCACCTCAACCTGTCCTCAGCCCTCTGGATGATAGTTTTGGTAAACCAGCACCTCCTCCTAATTTCTAAACTGTGAATTCTCTGCATTATATTCACACCACACACTGCTCTCAGACATGACATCTCCACTGCCTCCAGCCTTCTCCTTGTTGCGACATTCACCACCCATGTTTCACACCAATATTAGAGTGTTGGTATAACTATACTCTCATACATTCCCCTCTCTGCTTCCATGGACAAAGTTCTTTGTCTCCACAGACTCCTAAGTGCACCACTCACCTTTTTCCCTTCATCAATTCTGATTTGCCTCATCTTTCAAAGATCCATCTGCTGACACATCCACTCCTAAATATCTGAATACGTTCACCTCCTCCATACTCTTTCCCTCCAATCTGATATCCCATCTTTCATCACCTAATTTTTTTGTTATCCTCACCACCTTACTCATTCCTATATTCACTTATTTTCCTCTTTTACATACCTAACCAAACTTATCCACCAACCTCTGCAACTTCACTTCAGAATTTCTCAAAAGCACAGTGTCATCAGCAAAGAGCAACTGTGACAACTCCCACTTTGTGTTAGATTCTTTATCTTCTAACCCCCCACCTCTTGCCAACACCTTAGCATTCACTTTTCTTACAGCCTTATCTATAAATACAGTGGTACCTCAGTATACGTCCTTAATCCATTCCAGGACCTTGGACTTGTACCAAACAAATTCTCCCACAAGAAATATAGGGAAAACGATAAATCAGTTCTCATGAAAAAAATCCTATTGTTATTGGCATATTATACATTGATGGGGTTTTATAAAATAATTTAAACACTGCTTAATACTAAAATACATACATGTACATAAATACAAAAGAATTAGATGAAATAAATGCAAATTTAACCTCACTTTACTTTGCAGAAAAGAGTCGAGTGCCTACTAGGATAGTGCTGAGAAGGGAGGAGGAGGAAATGTTATTGTTTGGAAAGAGAGTCCACTTCTCTTTTATGTCTTTTCCCTATTTGAACCTGGTTGAAGCTCACCAGGTTTGACTTTTACTAAAAATCTGTCCAAAGAACCTGGTTTCTGCCTTCTCCTCAGGATGTTTCAGAAATGTGACATTGTCTGGTCATTTCAGACAATGCTATTACGGCTTGTTTGGGCTTTGTTGGGGTGGTACTTCTCTGCAAAGTTTTTGATGTCTATCCATTTGGTGAAGATTTCCTTGATTAATGAAGTAGGGGCTTCCTCTATCTCCTCTTCCAAGCCTGAAGAGAGAGCATCCATCTTAGTCTTGTGCTCCTCCTCCTTAAGTTTCTGCAGCTCCTCAGTGGTCAGCTCTTCCCTGTGCCCCTCCACAAACTCCACATCATCATCACTCACATCCAGACCCCATGGACCTGCCCAGAGAGACAATATCCTCCACTATAGACACAGCCTCAAAACCCTCAAAGCAGCCATGGCTTTGTATTGAGAGAGAGGTAAACAAGGTTAGCGCATGGTGTCGTGACTCATTTTGACCCATGCAAGTTCTAGCACGTGAGTCGTATTCCAAACAAAGGTCGTATACTAAGCAAAAATTTTCGCATCCAAACAGGATGTATACCAAGTTGGACTTATTCCAAAGTGGATGTATACTGAGGTACCACTGTATACTGAACAACCATGGTGACATCACACATCTTTGTCTATGGCCTACTTTTACTGGGAAATAATTTCCCTCTCTCCTTCATACTCTAACCTGAGCCTCATTATCCTCGTAAAAACTCTTCGACAATTTCAGTAACCTACCTCCTATTCCATACATTTGCAACATCTGCCACACTGCTCCCCTATCCACCCTGTTATATGCCTTTTCCAAATCCATAAATGCCACAAAAACCTCTTTACTCTGATCTAAATACTGTTCACTTATATGTTTCACTATAAACACTTGGTCTACATACCCCCTACCTTTCCTAAAGCCTCCTTGTTCATCTGCTATCCTGCTCTTCGTCCTACTCATAATTCTATCAATAATAACTCTTCCATACACTTTACCAGGTATACTGAACAGACTTATTCCCCTATAATTTTTACACTCTTTTGTCCACTTTGCCTTCATGCAAAGGAACTATGCATGCTCTCTGCCAATCCCTAGGTACCTTACCCTCTTCCATACATTTATTAAATAAAAGCACCAACGACTCCAAAACTATATCCCCACCTGCTTTTAACATTTCTATCCCTGCAGCCTTACCCCCTTTCATTCTACCCACTGCCTCACGAACTTCTCCCACACTCACAACTGGTTCTTCCTCACTCCTATAAGATGTTATTCCTCCTTGCCCTATACATGAAATCACAGCTTCCCTATCTTCATCAACATTTAACAGTTCCTCAAAATATTCCCTACATCTTCCCAATACCTCTAACTCTCCATTTAATAACTCTCCTCTCCTATTTTTAACTATTAAATCCATTCGTTCCCTAGGCTTCCTCAACTTATTACGCTCACTCCAAAACCTTTTCTTATTTTCAACAAAATTTGTTGATAACATCTCAACCACTCTCTCATTTGCTCTCTTTTTACATTGCTTCATCACTCTCTTAACTTCTCTTTTTCTCTCCATATACTCCTCCCTCCTTGCATCACTTCTACTTTATAAGAACCTCTCATATGCTAACTTTTTCTCCCTTACTTCTCTTTCTACATCATCATTCCACCAATCGCTCTTCTTCCCTCCAGCATCCACTTTCCTGTAACCACAAACTTCTGCTGAACACTAACACTACATTCTAAAACCTATTCCATACATCTTCGACCCCATTGCCTATACTCTCACTAGCCCACCAGTAGTTGTTTATATCTTACCCTAACTGCCTCCTCCTTTAGTTTATAAACCTTCACACCTCTGCTTCTACTTTCCTTGTATCCCATCTGCCTTTTACTCTCAATGTAGCTACAACTAAAAAGTGATCTGATATATCTGTGGCCCTTCTATAAACATGTACATCCTGAAGTCTATTCAACAGTCTTTTATCTACCAATATGTAGTCCAACAAACTACTGTCATTTTGCCCTACATCATATCTTGTATACTTATTTATCCTCTGTTTTTTTTTAAATATGTATTACCTATAACCAAACTCCTTTCTATACAAAGTTCAATCAAAGGGCCCCCATTATCATTTACACCTGGCACCCCAAACTTGCCTACCACACCACACCCTCCCTAAATGTGTCTCCTACTTTAGCATTTAGGTCCCCTACCCATATTTACAGTAATAAAGTAACCATGCAGATGACCCCTTACTAGAGTTCAGGTATTTCAGAGAGCATCATTATCAACAATGGTGAGAAAAACTATTATTTTATGACATTAAAATTTTTTGTTATAGCTCTTACGTAGGTACGAAAAATGCAACCCTGTTTTTCCTACGTTTTACAGTCCATAAATCACAGAAATCATTAGAAGCGCAGTTTTCAGGGAAGTAACCAACATGAATTATCATCATCCACTGTATCACACAACAAACGTAAGCCATCAGAATTATCACAGACTCAAGAACAACACACTATGCCCTACTCAAATGACTAAACATTTTAAATATTAATTACACTACTAAGGGTTTTTCCATGTATTAAACATGGTAGACCTATCTTTGTAGCTTTATTTTATTGTCTTCAAAAATAAATTACTTATTTTCATGGTCACAGTGGATGCAAACATTTTTTTTTATTTGAAAGAAATTCACCAAAACTAACACTGTTGAAACAAGATATGAGAGGCAGCATGCAATACAGAAACTAAAACATTACTGAATAACAAGACAATAATTAAAATGCAACACCACTAGCATAACTCTGCTTTCGTAACTACAAATTATCACAGCCAAAATGTAATGGAACATTGAATCAGTGGGAATAATAATGGGATAACAGACCAATCATGGGGATAATGTGAGAACCAACCATGAGGCCAGTGGGAGAACCAACTGTGGGGCCAGTGGAAGAACCACAGGGCCAGTGGGAGAACCAACCATGGGGGGCCAGTGGGAGAACCAACCATTGGGGCCAGTGGGAGAACCAACCATGGGGGCCAGTGGGAGAACCAACCATGGGGGCCAGTGGGAGAACCAACTGTTGGGGCCAGTGGGAGAACCAACCATGGGGGCCAGTGGGAGAACCAACCATGGGGGCCAGTGGGAGAACCAACTGTTGGGGCCAGTGGGAGAACCAACCATGGGGGGCCAGTGGGAGAACCAACTGTGGGGACCAGTAGGAGAACCAACTGTGGGGACCAGTGGGAGAACCAACTGTGGGGACCAGTGGGAGAACCAACCGTGGGGGCCAGTGGGAGAACCAATCGTGGGGGGCCAGTGGGAGAACCAACCGTGGGGACCAGTGGGAGAACCAACCGTGGGGACCAGTGGGAGAACCAACCGTGGGGGCCAGTGGGAGAACCAACCGTGGGGGCCAGTGGGAGAACCAACCGTGGGGGCCAGTGGGAGAACCAACCATGGGGGGCCAGTGGGAGAACCAACTGTAGGAGCCAGTGGGAGAACCAACTGTAGGAGCCAGTGGGAGAACCAACTGTGGGGCCAGTGGGAGAACCAACCCTGGGGCCAGTGGGAGAACCAACAGTGGTGATAACGGGAGACCAATCAAGGGGACAGTGGGAGAAATAACCATGGTGATAATGGGAGATCAATCAGAGGGACAGTGGGAGAACAACCATAAAGACAGTGGAAGAACCAACAATGGAAATAATGGGAGACCAACAATGGAGATAATGGGATATTAAAAATGGGATACTATGAGATTAACCCTTTGAGGGTCCATGCCATAGATCTACGGTTTTACGTTGAGGGTCCAAACCGTAGATCTACGTCACGAGCTCAGCTCACTCTGATAAGCTGTGAGCGGTAAATTTTGGCTTAGATATGAGAGAATACATCTATGCGGTATGTGTGCACCACATAACACAAATCCTGCAGTACAGTGTGTAATGAGAGAAAAAAAACATACCGTAATTTTTTATTAAAACAGCGACTTTGCAGTGTTTTTTCGTATGTTTTTTATAGTTGTATTGGCAATTTCTTGGTCTCATTTGATAGAATGGAAGACATATTACAGAGATAGAGATGATTTTGATTGGTTTTAGTACTGGAAATGGCTTGGAACTGAGCTCAAAGTAGCAGAAATGTTAAATTTTTGCCGATGTTCGAGAGTAAACAAATGACCTCACACGTCTAATACACGCCTGCTGGTGGATCTAATATACGTTCACAAATGTGCTGACATTATAATATTGCATAACAGTAAATCTTCTATTTTTTGGTTTGAATAAAAATTCATTATGTGAATAAAAAATCAAAATGGAATTCATTAGTAAAGCCTGAAAATATAACTAATGAACAGAGGAAATGTTAGTTTAGTGCCAGGAATGCCTGCATTATTCTGGACCCTATTTTGAAATTGGAGTACAATGGACCCCCGAGTTTCGTGATTAATCCGTTCCAGAGAGCCTGCCAAAAGTCGAAATTCAAAAAACTCGAAACCATTTTCCCCACAAGAAATAATGGAAATAAAATTAATCCGTTCCTGACATCCAAAAATATTAAAATAAATTTTTTTTTTCGAATTAAATAAAGATTTACATATTGAAATCAATGAGAAATCAAGTACATACATATGAAAAATAATAATAACATTACACTTACCTTTACTGAAGACTTCTGGGTGGATGAAAGATGGGAGGAGGGGATAGGAGGAAGGTGTACACTATTGTTTGGAAGGAGAATCTCCTTCCATTAGGACTTCAGGTATGAAGTCCTTATCTGGGGTTACTTCCCTTCTTTTAATGCCACTGGGAACAACTTTAGTCATTGGACCCCTGTCGCACAAAGTATCTGTCCAGAGAGCTCTGTTTCTGGTGTTTCTTTAAGATTTATCTGAAGTGGAACACAACACTGTCATTGTACATGTTGCCAATAAGGCCTGCAACAGCTTTGTTAGGGTGAAGTTCATCCATAAACGTTTGCACTTCAGTCCACTTTGCACAAATGTCCTTAATCTTTGAAGAAGGCACCTTCCTCTATCTCTCTTCCTCCTCCTCCTCTGCAGCAGTTTCCTGAGCAGTGATCTCTTGCTGTTGCAGATGAAGCTCTTCAGTGGTTAGCTCTTCCCTGTGGTCCTCCACCAACTCTTCCACATCCTCACCACTCACCTCCAACCCCAGGGACATCCCCAATGCCACAATAGATTCCACAAGTGGCACAGACTCCTTAGGGTCAACCTCAAACCCTTCAAAATCCCTCTCTTGTACACATTCTGGCCACAATTTTCTCCAAGCAGAGTTCAAAGTCCTGGAAGTCACTCCCTCCCAAGCCTTACCTATAAGGTTTATGCAATGGA